ACATTTGACTAATCAACCCTAAAATATCCAAAACACAATTTTGTATCAGAATTCTGCTGTGTGTTTCCATTTCTTTTGGTGTTTTAAAAATAATTAAAATAATCAGAATAATGTTTAGAGGATAATCAAGCAATAAACTTCCCCAATAATCAAATTTAAATAAAATATCAGTTAAAGTTGACATTTTTTTTAATTTTTTAAAATTGTTTCATTTGAAATTTTTTTAAATATTTAAATGAAAAATGCCGTCTAATTAATTTTAAAATTTTCACCTGGTATTTATCTAATGCCCTTTAAAAGACAAACAAAAAAATTTTTTTCTATATAATTATCAGAAGCAGATTGTTTAAATTTTAACTGCCAACTTTGAAAAATTTTTTAGAATTTTAAATTTACATGTAACACTTTAATAAATAATATTTATCTTACTTTTTAAATTGCAGGTGAAAATTAAATTATTAGAAAATCAGAGTATTTTTTAAACATTGTTTAAAAAATATTAATTTCTAGAATATGACGAATCATTAAGTAACTTTATATTTATTTCGTCGCCCAACTGAGTTATTTCGTCGCCCAACAAATAAAGAATCAGCTCGCATAATATTAGTGGAAAGGAAACAGTAATTGGGCGAAGGATTGAAAGAATTTCACAATTCAGTCGATCTCAAGTTTTAACCCGAACAAAAGTCTGGTTATCTTTACTTACTATTTTAATATACCTATGTTAAATAAAAGTTTAAGAAAGGAAGGTCTTCATTGTAATTGCTGGATCAGCACCCCAAGGGTGGTTTCCACTCTTGGGCCCCAACACCGACTAGTTTTTGTTAAAAAAACTAGGATATATATAATAAAGACTAATAAATTTAGGTTTGTTACGATGATCAAAGATGGAACAACTGTACGTTTAACCAAAATTAAAAACAGATTCGGGAATAGTAGAGTCAAAGGTGGCAATTACGGCAGCACTAAAGAGTCAATGGAGGGAATTACAGTAGCACTATTTTGGGGAGGTAATTTTATAAATTAATTATTATTAATTTAAATTTTCTTATACTCTTTATAACTTTGTTTTCTATTCAAGTTATTGCAATCTTTTGCTCTAAGATCCCTGGGACATCTATTTTTAATAAACATTTGATTAGAAAGTGGCAAATCTCTATCTAAAATATTGATGAAATCTGCAAGTTTTTAGAGAAAAATTTTAAATTTATAATTTTATTTGAATAATTTTTGTGGGCTGGATTATTATTACAAATTTTTTAACTCTAATTTAACTCAAATTTTATTCATTTTTCAAATTCGCATGGAGAATTAGGAAATTATTAACATGCTGATAGATATGACTATCCATCTCCGAGCTCTTAGCTCCGACACATAATCAAATTAATGCAACTGCACTGTGATTTCCGTCGTGATAATATAATTTATTACACTCAAAACTAAGCTTAATCACTTTAAATTTTATTTTTAATTTAATTATTAATTTAATTCTGGAATAGAATTAGATTTAGTTTGTCTTTTGAACCGTTCTAAACTTGTCTTATAATAGTAAAGCAGCTGGGCTATAGCTATTTCTCTCCTTTAGCTAGTGCAAAGGGTTATTCGGGGGCTGGAGCGAACCAGTATCTTCAGTAGACCGGACTGATGTGTTATCCATTACACCACGCCGCCTACTGCACAGCCTTCGGAAATTAATAGCTATATGCTTTACATAATTGCTAATTCTCAAACTTTTTATTACTTTATTATTTACTATATAAATTATGTTTTTATTAAGATCATAAATATTTGAAAAAACTGCTCCATATATTTTTTATTTTTCGTATATATAATTTTTTTATAAAATATATAAATGTGCTAATTTAATTTCTATTAATAAATGGTATAAATAAAAAACATTTAGGTTTATTTAATTAAAAGTAATGTTACTAATAAATTATAACCTGTCACTAAAAATAAAAACCAAAAACTAATAAATAAAAAAACTAATAAAAATATTATTGCATAAAAATATATATTCGTGTTTCTATTTTTGCCTTTTTTGAAAAAAACATTTTCCAAGGTTATGACATTCATTTATCACTGTAACTAAAATAATTATTTCAAAAAAATATGTATAAGTATAGCTGCGGGTCCGGTCCAAAAGATCAAGTCGGGCATCGAATTTTGGCCTGAAAAAAACTCGACCGGTCTGGCCCGATAAATAGAAGCTTGAAAAAGCTCGGCCGGTCTGGCCCGATAAATTGAAGCCCGAAAAATGACACGAACGTCGGCCCGGTTTAATCCAATCCTTTGTATAAGACGAGGAAAATTCCTAGGACCAGATCCAACCAGCAATAAGTATACCAAAATTTGTCTAAGTACGCAGGCTGTTTATGCTCAAGCCCGGTTAAAATTATTTAATTAAAAATAAGGTGGCTGTCTCCTAATGGCCTCTCCTATTGAATGACCCTTTTTTGGGTATTGAAAAATAGAATGGCGGCCCTTCAATTAGGTTAAATACGGTAATTTATTAAGTCAAGTTTAGAGATCGGACCGAGACTAGATCTCTATCGAATATCTCGGTTATTGAGATAGAGAATTTTTCGAGATCTCGATTCTCGTACGACACTCTCAGTCCGATCTCTAGTCAAATTATAACAATTTTTCGGGCAAATCTCGGCTGTAGTTTAGTATATGCCCACCGAGATCGAAACTCAAGTTATATACCATTCGATTCGTCTCGCCGAGCTGAGTTCAAATATGCAAGAATTTTCTGCCGGAGACGAAAACTCGCAGAGATACAGGCCCCCGAAAATCGAAAAACCATAGGGGGGACCAAGCACTTTTTTGGGGTGAAAAATTCGAATATGCAAATGACAGCTCATTCGAAAGAGCTCCTCGAGCTGAGTCGAATGACACCAAAATCAACAAAATCCGACTTGATTGGACAAAGTTGTGATCGTTTATTTTAGCTCCTTACCTATGGCATCTGTGGAGATTTTTGCTGCTACGGAGGCCCCAAATACGTCCAGAGCAAGGGAGATAGGAATAGGTTTATGTTACGAGCCCAGACCCAGCGCCCGTAGACTCCCCGCGAGGCGCGTGCCGCAAAACCCCGCGCGAAGCGCGGGGTTTTGCACAAGCGCCTCGCCGACGACCCATAGGTTTAGGTTTTTTTGTTTTTTGTATCATAACTGTGTCTAATCTTGTTCAAACACGGTGATTTTGGTGTCATTTGACTCAGCTCGTCGAGCTCTTTCAAATGAGGTATTATTTGTATAAAAAATTTTTTATTCCAAAAATCGCCCCTTTGGATCTTCGATTTTTAGAGGTCTATATCTCGGTCCAATCAAGTCGGATTTTGTTGATTTTGGTGTCATTCGACTCAGCTCGACGAGCTCTTTCGAATGAGTTATAATTTGCATATTCGAATTTTTCACCCCAAAATAGTGCTTGGTCCCCCCTATGGTTTTTCGATTTTCGGGGGCCTGTATCTCTGCGAGTTTTCGTCTCCGGCAGAAAATTCCTGCATATTTGAACTCAGCTCGGTGAGAGGAATCGAATGGTATATATAACGATTTTCGATCTCGGTGGGCATATACTAAACCGACCCCCAAATCTCAAAGAAAACCGTTACATTAGTTAATGTTTAAGTAATAATTATTATTTAAATTATAACTAAAAATTAACATCTATATTTATTTTTGTTTCTATTTTTGTAATAATTAATTGAGAGCTTTAATTAAAAGCTTTAATTAATATTTATTATTATTTTAAATATAGCTTGATTTTAAATTCAAAGTCCACTATTATTAAAATATTTTTTAAACAGAAATAATTTAAAATTAAAATAAATTGAGCATAAATAAAGAAGAAAAACCTCTAGATTAATTATAATGTAACTTTTGATAAATTATTTTTAAAAATATTTTTTCTGCTTAATTATGGGAAAGAGAACTCTATGTAGATACCTATAGTTACCTTATACACGCACATCGCTAGACCGGTGGTTCAAAAATAAATAGCTAGGTACTTATAGCCTTAGGGTAATAAAGAGAAATGAACATAATGACGCAAATGTTATACTTAAGAAAAATTAGTAAGAATAAAAAGGGGGCGGGGCTTATGGGGGGGGGGAACTACACAATTACATATTTTTTATAAATTTAACTAATTTTCAGTTCAAATTTTTAGACCAAAAATGCAATCAAATAATAATACATCTTCAACAATAGTAGATGTTTTCCCCCAAGTAACCTACATTAATTTTATCTTTTTCACTATTGAATTATTATGTACTTTTACTTCAATATTTAATATGTCAAGATTACTTTATGCTTCTAAATATAAAATTTCTTTACTCAAAGTTAATGAAATTTCAAGTACAATGAAGCTTTATTTGTCTGTAAATGTTTTTTGTGGAAGTATATTTTTAAAATTAAATTTAAAAAATCCCTGTTTGAATTATGTAAGAGTCTAAACATAAAGTTTATACATCCATTCGAAATTTTATCCAATTTGCTTATTAAAGTGAACCAATGGCAAATAACTATTGTAATGATGATTCACCTACAGTATTTAAAAGAGGCCTAAAAAGGCCTAAAATGAAGAGGCCTAGCAATAAGCACAAGGATGTCAAAGGTCCGACCATTCCCGGTGGCTAAACTTTTGCTTAACTCTTACACTATTGCTATATTTGCACTGTTTACTTTGGTAGCATAAAATCTATGAGGGGGGGGGGCATTACTTCACCCAAAATTAAGGCACATACGCACAATACCAAAACATTTAATTAAAAATATGATCCGGTGATCATAGGTCCTCGAAAGCAAATTTGATACTTATCGCCATAGACTGAAAGTCTGAAAATTTTGCTTTGACTAAAAATTTATTTTGATTGCTTAATACACTCAACAGCCAAAATTTAATTTTCAGTAACAACATTGCCATATCTTCTATACAAAGTAGTTTGGTGGCGCCCACCAAATTTTCAAGGAAATGATCAGCCTCTATACTCCTTTGTTATTTTCCATTTTATTTCTGGTATTTTCTATGCTCTCCATTTTTCTATTTCAAGTATTTTGGTATTTATTCTGTGTCTGGATCGGTGTTTAGTAATTAAAATGAGTAATCTTTGGGAGGAGAAAAAACGAAAAATGTTTATTAAATTGGGAATATTTTTTGTAATAATTGTGTATTTTGGATGTGGATTTAGTTATGTTTTTGAATTGCCGTTGGATTATAAAATTCGTAAGTCTTATTATTATTTGATAGGTAGACATAGATATTTTTTGTGGCTTGGTTACGATATAATTTTGAAGTTCATGAATCTTTCGGGGTTACGATACGTAATAATGTACTGTACAAAATTCTTAACTTTATTCATAAGGATGAGTAGGTACAAGGGATAGATCAGCTTCCGCCTTCCACTTTTTAAAATTCAAAATCCATCACTGGTAATTATAGAGAATAGGGGTACAATGTACAGCGCAGAGGTCAACGGAATTCCGATTTCCGACAGTTCCGATTTCTGGCACCTTCGTTATTTCCGATCGACCTCTGGTACAGCATAATAGTTCGAGCAAATATTGGATCATTTACGAATTCAAGGGGGAGACCAAGATTAGTGATATTACGAAGTACGAGTTAACCAGTTCCATCTTAAACCATCTCCTTAACCGTTCCTTTTCAATTTCAAGGAACTGGTTAAAAATCGTTTATTGAGTTTCGAAAACACCCTTACAATATTTTAATATTTTTTCAGTTAAATATTGCGAGACACAAACTTGTATGCAACACCGTCTAAAGAATTACCCAATACTTTTTGTAAAAACATGTTTTGGAGTTTGCAATATTATTTGCTGTATAGTTTTTCTTAAACTTTTAGCACGTGTTGGAGGAGATACTGCCAAAAAATTGGTTTTAAATTAAATATTTTTATCGAGTATTTTTTAAAAATATTTTAGGATAACCGAATAATTAAAATAACTGTTATCATAGAAATATTTCTTAATATAGTTCCTGGTGAAGGCAACATTATCTACAAAGCGGTCAGAATAATTTTAATATTACATATCGGTTTTTAAACCTGAGAACAAGGTGGCCCCTTCCAAAACACTAAAATAGAGCACAGCCACTTAAAAATAGGGCAAAAATTAGGACATAGCTTTAAAAGCTTAAACATAATTAAAATTTCAAATATGGCGAAAATTTTGAGAATTTTGGAAGGCCAAGAAGCCAAAATTCTTCCATTTTTAGCGCCGCAGGCGAAAAATTTGAGGATTTTGAAAGGCCAGGTAGTCAGAAATCCTTCATTTTACCATTTTTTTACAAAATCCGAAGAATTTTTAAAATTTTACAAGATGGTAAAAATAGGGCAAATGAGAAAAAAGGGAAAAAATAGGGCGAAAAGTTCAAAAATAGGGAAAATCCTCTATAAATATGGTAAAAGAGCCACCCTGCCTGAGAATGATTTTAGAAGGGTTGTCAAATCCTGGAAAATCTTTGGATATCCGGAACCGAACCGAAGAACCGAACTGAAAAATCTTCGGAACTCGGATTCGGTTCGGTCCGGTACCGACAACCCTACACTCTAATGAGATACTCATAGCTACAATTTTGCACATAATTCTTATATTAGCAGGATTTTTCATTCCCGCTGGAGTCACTCTCGCAAACTTTTTTGAAAGTTATTGCTGTATGCGGGCCACGATTTTGTCTACATTTAATTTCTATACGAGATAAAATACTTTGAATTATTTTATAGATAACGGGATATTCTCTGTCAGTATATACTGGTGAACTTTCATATTTAACATTATCTCTAGAATTAGCAATTTGTGGAGTTTTTTATTGGAGAAAGTTCAAAACTATGCCTGGAACTCAAGTCACATTACTTACATCACACAAGAATTTAATTAATACACCTAAACAACCCTGGACTGTAAATGTTGAATAAAATATTGAGATTAAGTTGAATTATAGAAAAGATTTAAATTTTTATTTACATATTTTTTTTCAGTTAAGATTTTGGAATATTAAATTTTAATATACCTAATATTGAATTAAAGTAACAAAACTAAAATTTTAGAGTTGAAAGAAATGAAATTTTCGGAAATTACATTAAATATTACATTTTAAAAGAGACAAGGTATAAGAGTCAAAATGATCGAATCCGGGATGCCCTGCTATGCTTCATGCATCTCGACGAGCTGAATCAGACCATACAAGAGTTTTTCGGATTTGGCCATTTTGAACAAAGTTATAAACAAAGTTTTTTACAATTGCTATTTAAAAATTCTTGCCAAAAAATATGAAGCTCAAAATAAAGCCTTGGATTAAAAAACTATTTAATTTATGGGTTTTTTAATCCGAACAGAAATATTCGGATACCCTGCCTCCTTATAGTAAAAGAAAATTTATTGCTATCAGAAATTCTTCCGGATCCAAATACTCTGATCCTCCAGCTCCAATGCTATTTGATTATTTGTTTTGTATCAAAAATTTTTTGTCACACAAATATCAATTTAAAAGTGTGCTTAATTAAATTTTCATATTTCAATTTTTAACATAAAATGATTCCTTTCTTCTATCCCTTCAAGAGCCAACTGGTGGGATACATGGCTTCTTGCAGACGATGCCCTTCCCAGGCCTCTCACATGCTTGATCTCTCCATTTTCCATTAGAATCAAAGCCCACACAGTTTTTAGTTCCATAACCATCAGAATCGCCCAAGCCATTTGTAGAGTTGGCGGGGCATCCAGGGGCCCAAGGGTTGTTGGGTTTTGTGGTGCTAGTGATGATTGTGGTTGCTTTTGAGGTTGCTCTGATTGTTGAGGTTGATGGTCTAGGGGTTGTGAAGGCTTTTGTAGTTGTTGCCGCTTTTGTTGTAGAAGTTGTGGAGGTTGTTGTGGTCTGAATGAATAAAAATACTTGGTAAATTTTTCAAATTTCTTTGGGAACCGTGTCATCATTTCCATAGTCACAAGATTTACCATCGTCGCAACTGCATCCAATCGGACCATTTGGTGGACTTTCTTGGTACCGATGAAAGCCCGTATATATGCATTCAGAGTCAGTAGCTCGCTTCTTTCTTCCACTAGATGAGCTCGAAAAGGCTCCAGCACAAACATTATTAACTATATGTTGATTCTCTTCTTCTGATTCAATAGAGCAAGGTGTCGCACATGAGTCATAACAAAGATCGTGAAGCTAAAATGATGGTTACCATAGAATTAGGGGTTACCATAGGCATGGGGCACAAATTACCTGCCAAAAGCTTCCGCTTTGGTTAAACCACTTGTAGGCATAGGCCTTTCCATTCCCGTTATTCTTCCACTGCCAATCATCTGAACCGCAGATATACCCGCCTGTATCATCATCGGTGGTTGTCGTTACTACTGGTATCGTTGTAATGGGTTTTGAAGTAACTGCCGGGGCTTGAGTTGTAACTGGTGGGCATGTGTTTGTACAATTCTTTTTACAAACGACACCACCTAGTTTGTGGTAGCATCCAATGTCATTCCACAATACGCCATTGTCGTTTGTTATCTCAACGCAATCCTCGACATTCCCTAATTTTTTTTAGATTATATTTTTTTATTTTATATAGAGAAGAGTCGTGGTCGTAGGCTTAAACACAACCCCCGATTTTCCCAAAAATTTTAGGGTTAAATCCATAAGCCCCCTCTCCTCCAAACTAAATTATCTTACATCCAACTGAAGTAATTGAACTAGACGATCCTGAAGGGTTTCCTGTTGACCATGGTGGTATATTTTGATTCGGATCTGCAACGCCGTCAAATCTACCATAATCACATAGTGTTCCATCTGACCAACAACAATCAACTGAAGTATTGTAGAAAGGAGCGTATTGCACTCGATGCATTCCAATCCAGAATGAACGTAGTAATCTGTCAAGCCGTAAAGAGCTCGTAGTTGAACGATCAACACGCTGTTTACAGACGGAGTTGTTGTTTTCGCATTGGTCGAGGAGTGAGGAAGCGATGGATATCACAAAGGCATTTTCCTGAGCACTGTGGATACTGGCTACTTGTGCGCCTAGGGCCGCGCAGACGTCATGTGCCTAATTACAGATTTAAATTCAAAAGTGTATATTCCTCCAACCTCAAAAAAGTTGACCATATCAGCAACAATAGCCTTATATCCATAAGTAAACCCATCACTACCTACATTTGTTTGCCAATCACTAGAACATTGGCCAGCGATTAGGGCCGGAAGGGAAAGATAGAAAAGTGAAACGAATGAGAGGGTAATCATTTTTATTTCCAAGTTTTAAGAATTTGCCTGAAATAATTTATTAATTAATTATGATTTTGAGGTAAAAAATTGAGAAAAATCGAAAATTTTATACATAGCTGGATGTTAAAATTATACTATGTAGATGCGGGGAATTCGAAAGGGGAACGGGGGATTTGGGGGTGAGATCTCCCACCATCCCCCGTGGAATTCCCTGTCCTGGGGAATGGCGGGGAAAACCCTAGGTTATACTATCTTAGTTTGATCAGCAAAAACACAATGAATTCTAAGAATATCACGTAAATGCTTGAATAATTACCCCGGGTAATTTTGTTTCAGCCTTCGCTGGAGGGGGTAATTAATCGAGAGGGGTAATTTATAACCAGTTTAAGTGGGTAAGTACTCGTTTCAACCCTTTCCTGGAGGGTTGTGGAGTAATTCTTTCAGAGGGTGATTATTTGATCATTTACGGTAGTTTAACAATTGAGAGTATTTATTTAGATTATTTTACATAAAATGATATTTTCTTTAATTTTTTATTCACTTAAATATACCTAGTTTTTTAAGTTTAATATTAACAACTCTTTCGTATTAATATTCAAATCCATTATTAATTTCCTTTCGGGAACTTTTTTTAACCCAAACTCCATTAATTTCCATAAATTCGTTAAATTCAGTTAAATTCAAATTTTGAATAATCCAAAAAGGATGTAAATAAAATATATAATTAAACTAAAATTTAAATAGTTTAAATTTTTATTTAATCCTTTAAAAAAATTATAAAAAAAATCCATCATTTATTTTATGCTAATCCTTAAACTAAGTTTCATTGTATAGAGTTTGAATAATGTAAAAATGTAGTACTTCCTGTCATATGAATGTAAATTATCAAGTTACAGACAGAAAAGTTAGGCTCCTACATGAGGCCAAAAATTGTCAAGTTTTTTGACTAACTGATCTAGTGGCGAGTACACCCCAACATACCACAGAGTTATAACTTTGTTTAAAATTGTCCGATAAAATATATTACGAAAAATATTATTTGGTTTCAAACAGAAGTTAGGTTTTTTAAACATATAACCCCGGACACAACAAATTAATTTAAAGGGTTATTTATTTGAGATTTATCAAATTTAAATCAGATTACGATAGAAAACTGAATAAGAAGTGACAAATGTTTTGAAGAAAGCTTTTAATTAGGGTAGCACCCCAAGCCTTAGAGGTCTGGTTTGCATCGAGGATCGGGGTTTGTCGGGGTAGAGCCTTCGGTGTTCTGTTCGGGATTTTTCATAAAAATCGTCGGGGTCTGATCGGGGTTTCGGGGGACGGGGTGCTACCCTACATTTAACTATGAAATATTTTAGCTTACAGAAAGAGGTTGTTAAAGGAATCTTTGAAATATGGTAAAAAATGTTTAAAAAATATACTATGTTGGCGAGAATTTTTTTAAATAAGTTCATTTTAGTTGATATTTTTATTAAATGAGAGAAATAAAGAACAAATAAAATCAAGAATTAATGAATTTTGGACTAGAGTTTTGGACTAAAGGCGCCCCGAATTACATACATATACCAAAATATATTATTGAGGATGTATCTTTAAACGATTTAAAACAGCTTCTTTGTATGGCTTATTAGTTATTATACAAACAATTGGGTTAAAAACGGGTGTAAAATGAACTAAGCTGGAAAAGAATAAACAGCCAAAAAATTTGATGTTATAAATCACATTTATATTATTATCTTTAGCTGTAACATTTGTTTGATTATTGTAATTAAAGAAGGAAGTTAATAAAACAAACATCTGATTAATAAATGGAATAATTACCTGAAATTTAAATTTAACAAAATTAGGTGGATTAGGTAGGTACTAGGGTTGTTGGCGACCGGTTATTAACCGGTACCCCCGGTTTACGGTTAATCTAAATTTTAGAAACCCGGTTTTCGGTTTTGAGTTTTAGGCAAATACCGGTTTATTTTTGGGGGAATTTCAAATAAAATCACTAATTTTCACAAATTTCCGGTTTTCGGTTTTTAAAATTTTCTAAAAACGGTTAATTTTTGGCAAAAAATTTCAAAAATTCCGATTTTAAAACCGGTCGCCAACAACCATAGTAGGTACTATCACATATACCGCCACATGCCCGCAAATGTTTTTCCGCAAAAGTTTCTCCATTTTTTCTCTCCTTTCATAAAGATTAAGTAAATGTTCAAGGTTAATAATGTTCATCAGGGCTGGGCAAAAATAAAAAGCGAAATTGCGAAATAAGCCCAGCCCTGATGTTCATGTATTAATTTAATTTAATTATTACTAGGGCCTCATAAAATATGCACGGAAAATGGCAAAATATAAAAAAAGCCCAAATATGCACCAAGATATGCGAAATTTGTCAAAATATGATCTAAATATGCAAAATAGAAAAAAGATGATTTAATATCCGCAAAAAACATGTCATTTCTAGAAAATTCATGACGTAACAGTGTTCGGGATATTAAAGATATGCCGAAAACAGGACTTGAAGAGCTATTTTGCTGAATTAATTGCAGACAAGAAAAAGAATTTTAATGGAGTGACCTTCTATCTGCCTGACCATTATTAATTCTTGAACATTTTTTAATCTTTATGAGAGCAGAAAAGAAAGAAAACTTTTGCGGATAAAAATTTGCTTCAGGGCTGCACGCAATTGCGTCATATTTGTAGGTATAATGCGATAGTCCATAAACTTTCATTTACCAAAATTATCAAAGTCTTTGCCAATTGTTTAAGTAATCTCTTCATATTTTGATCGTATCCAGTATGTAAATTAACATAATGAACCATTTTGAACCCACAAATAAAAATTATAAAATATGGAAGTATATCAATAACAAGTAACATTAATGAGGGCAAACTTTGCTTTAAAAAAATAATGAATATTATTAAATTACCGTATATACTCTATTAATTACCCTCCCTCAAATAATTACTCTCTTTAATAATTGCCCCCTCCCTTTCCTTCTCTAATTTCAAAAATATTGAAAAAATCATTGTCAATTTTAATGATTGAAACATTATAAATATCAATATAAAAAATACATGGATTTCCTCTTCGATTTATTGAGATATACCCAAAATTTAGCCCATCTTCTCGATTAATTACCCCCTCCAGAGAGAGGTCGAAACAATAATTACCCAGGGTAATTAATAAAGTATATACGGTATTCTGAATTTTCAATTCAATTTACCACAGATTTCAAAATAACATAAGGAGATGTGATGTTCAGATATTCTTCCTCAAAAAGTCTAATATTCCCAACGATGTATTCCAAGGCGAAAAAAATACAAATTAAATTATAAATCATGCTAATAATTAAAACAGACGTGAACATATACAGTAGATAGTGTTTAAAGTTAATTTTCATGTTTCTGTTAATTTATGTTTTATTATTTTTTTATTATAAGTTGAGACAAAATTTTGTTTTAATTTCTGCAATAAAAATACAAAATCCTTGAGTCAGTATCGTTTCTCGCCGAGAAATAGATCGAGAATTTCAGTATCGGGTTCGAAACCGAGAATGAAAAATCGAGACCGATATTGGAAAATAGCCGAGAATCTCGGTATCGGTCTCGTCTTATCCAACTCTACTACATATTAGAAGGGAATTTTATTAGGATAAGAGAGGGCATCCAATTAGGGGCAATAAATTAATTCTGATTAAAATAATTTGTATTTTACCTGTTCAAAATTAAATATCTAAAAACAAATTGGGCACATAGCCCATACAAATTTATAATGTAAAAAAACTGTGCGATAATTACAAAAATAAGGTAAATAATTTTGTTGGAAGTATTTCTGATAAATTCAATACAAATGCCGTTAATAAAAATTAGGATTGAGTTTCCATTGGTGTCAGTTATTTAAAACTAAATTTGTCAAGATTCTGATTTCAATTATTAAGTACTAATTTTTTATCAAATTTTACTTGGTTTTAAATTCATTAATTCTGCGTTTTAATTTTAACACTTTTAGCATTCCCGTAATGCTATTAAGAAATAGTATTGAACAAGATCGAGGCTAACCGAGATGCATATATGGCTACTAGAGATCGACCTGTGTCTGGACTCAGGCCGAGGTTTTTACTGTACACTAGAGATTAGGCCAGACTTGGTAATGAACATGGATTTTGGTATCCGGATATTTACGGCGGATACAAACGAATATTCGCAGGCATTTTGAACTTATCTCTATCCGTATCCAATACCAAAACTGGTTCAGGCTTGCTAATTTTTGACCTTCCTAGGTCTTCCTGTGCCTGAGTTTTCCCTAAATACAGGCCCAGGATTAGGCGCAAGTCGATAAATCAAACCCGGGAACAGGCCCAGGCTTTTTAAAAATTACGATCTCTAATGACTATACTTTCCGTATGACCGACCGTATACGAGATATCCAAATTGTTTCTGGAGACTTTTCATCATCTTCCCGATTTGGTAATAATACTACTACTTTATATTTCTGTACAGAAATTATATGATTCAATTTAATTATAGTTTCTAACAGTCCTACCATCTGTGCAGACATTATAAGTGCTAAGTACAAAATATCCAAAACACAATTTTGTATCAGAATTCTGCTGTGTGTTTTCATTTCTTTTGGTGTTTTAAAAATAATTAAAATAATCAGAATAATGTTTAGAGGATAACCAAGTAATAAACTTGTCCAATAATCAAATTTAAATAAAATATCAAGTAAATTGGACATCATTTTATGTATTTCATTTAAAAAATTAAAGTAAAATTACTTAAAAATTCTTATTAAAAAGTTTCACACACTAAATAATTTTTAACAAAATATTTAAAAAATATTTACATTAATAATATTTATTTTAAAAATACAAAATAAATTCTAAGAAAACTTCTTTATTTTAATTAAAATCGTAAGATATTATTACTTTGACGACAGACTTGGTGTACTTAAAAAATACTTTTCAATAACAAACATAAATATAAAATTTTAAATATATTATAAACACCACAGATATTCAGAATTATTCAGAATTAATTTGATACAGGTTGTATAATAAAAATACTTGTAGTATCAAAAAGCTGAATGTTTTTACAATTTTGTTAAGAAACTTGTTTTAAAACATGAATTTTAAACAAATTAGAATTAATTTATAACATGTTTTTCTAATTGAAATATATGAAATAAAATACTTTTTTGAGAAAATTTTTTTGTTTTTATTAAAATCGTGAAATACATATTATTGTATTAAGCACTGCCTTGAAGCACTTAAAAATCCTTCAGAAATTTGTATTTTGTTCCCAAATCGTACCATAGCTACGAGGTACGAATTCGTATTTAGTTACGATATTTAATAAACAAAAACATTGTAGACTTTCTCTCCTATAGAAACATTGTTCCTCTTTTTAAAAAATTCTTCTATACATAGCTATGAATATATCAACACATCTGTAATTAAAATCGTGAGATAATACTTCATTCGACGACTGTTAATTAACATAGAAACAGTGTTGCCAAGAGGGTATGAGAGTTGCCAAGGAAAATTTAAATTTTCAGACATGAGCAGAAAAGGCAGGAAATTTAATAAAAGCGAGTTTAACTTATCAGACGAGTTTAACAATGATTGCGCAGTGTTGAAATGGGTGAACACTATCTTCCCAACATTGTTAGGAAGATAAATAATAATTGTGCCAACTTTGGCAATTTATTTACTCAACCCTAGACTCAGACAAACAAAAAATAATTAAAGAAAAAATTTATTTAAATTAAAATTAGCCAAATATATGAGTGGTAGAAAAATATATTAAATTTAATCGGTAAAACAACAACTGAACAGCCAGCTCAAAAGAAAAGCGATCTGGCTGGCAATAGGCAGGCGGAGCTTATTTTTTAGAAGGTTTGGAAAAATAAGGGGTTAAAAAGTATTAAAATTTATTAAATTTTGTGCTTTGAGCACAATAATGATATTAAATATCATTAATATGTATAATGAAAAAGCGTTTGAATATGACAAAATATGAATGAGATATACTGGATGAAAAGTTTTGCCATAAAGCAAAGATCAGAAAATTCTTTATACATCAGTAAACAAAACTATCAGTCAGAAAATAAACAATAAAAACATTTATCAAAATAAAATAAAGTATTTATTGTGGATGTATTCTTAAACGATTTAAAACAGCTTCTTTGTACGGGTTATTAGTTAATATACAAACAATTGGGTTAAAAACAGGTGTAAAATGATTGAAGATTGCAAGAAATATAAAGATAATTAATTTGTTGTTATAAATTAGAATTGTATTACTAGTATCGTCGTGTGATTGTTTAATATTATTGAAATTGGAGAAAATGGATAATATAGTTGGAAATTGGTTTATAAATGGAATAATTACCTAAAATTTAAATAAAATTATATTCAAAACTAAATAATTCACCAAAATTATCAAAGTTTTTGTCAATTGTTTAAGTAATCTCTTCATATTTTGAGTAGTAACCCCCACCCTTTTGTCCCAGTTGTGAGGTGGAAATTTTATGGGTGTATTTCTCCCCACAACCATCTGTCCCATTTGAGAAGTAAATTTCCAACGTGTCCCGATTATAAGGTGCAAAATTTTATTGGTTGCATTTCCCCTACACTCAACTACCCCAATCTAGTAGTAATCCCCCTTTTGTATTGAGGGATGTGTCGGCAAATCAAAGACCACCCTTTTGTCTCACCCTTTTGGCTCATTTAATTTTCCCGCACCACCCTTTTGTCCCAGTTGTGAAGTGGGACAATTTGTACGTGTATTTACCTTACCACCACCATGCCCCAATTGAGAAGTAAATTTTCAACTTGTCTCAGTTGATAATTTTATTTTGTGAATTGTCCGACACCCAACTGTCCCAGTTGAGAATTAAGTTTCCAAAATGTCCCACAACATAACCCACTTGTGATGTAAAATATTTTATGGGTGTATTTCTCCTACACTCACCTACCCCAATCTAGTAGTAAACCCACCCCAAATGTTACAAACGTTACACCCCATTTGATCACCTGTCAATCAAACCTGAGGCTATAGGGGGTATTTTCTTTTGATCTTTGCCGCAAACCCTTTGCTTTTGGAAGGGTTTGAGGGTAATTAATCATGATTAATTAGGGTAATTAATCATTGATGATTAATTGCTTTTTTGGTTACATTTTGTGGGAAGTGACAGGTTTGATGTTTGTGGTGTCTGGGTGGTCGGTTGCAACATTTGGAGGGTAAAATAAAAATTTTTAAATTATTTTTTTGAAAGTGCGGTAAAATAAAAGAGTTGTCAAAAGGTTTTGGATGGGTGAAAATGCGGTAAAATAAAAGAGAGGTAAAAAGAAATGAATTTTTGGGTTTTCAATTATCTATGTGGGTTGATTTAAGGGAAATATTTAATTGAAATGTTTCGAATGATTGAGAGGTGATTAGGTACATTAATAAGTATAAAGGGCGCGATTGATAAGTGATAGGGGTGGGAATTGATAATTAAAATATGAAAAAGTTTAAAAGGGTAATATTTTTGTTTATTAATAAAAACTTTTATAAAATTAAAAATAAAATCCCCAAGCGGAATCGAACCTTCACCATTGTGGTTTTTTCGTATGCGGGAACTTTATCCATTCGGTCAAAGGGGTGTACTTAAGTTTAATCAAATAATTTGATTTTTTATTTATATTAATATCTCTGTGTATTTTGGGGGAGGGGTGGAGGATTTAAAATTTCAAAATTTCGAAATTTCGCAATTAAAATTTTAAAAAATTAAAATAAATTTAAATATATAAATAATTAAATAAAAATGATAATAAAAAATTTTTTGCAAAATTTTTACAAAAAAAATAAAATGATTTTAAAAAAAGGGCGGAAGTTCAAATGTAAGGGGATTTATTCAAAATGCCAAATTTCAAAATTTGGCGGGAATTTAAAGTTTAAAAATTTGGTGGGAATTTCAAAATTGAAAAATTTAAAAAAATATTAAATTTAAATAAAATTTAAATAATAATCAAATAAAAAATGGAGGAAGAAATAAAATTTTCAAAATTTTACAAAAATTTAAAATGATTTGCAAAAAAGGGTTGAAATACAAATGTAAGGGATAGTACATGAATTAGAAAGAAAACAAATTTAAAAAATATAAGTTAATGTTAATGAGTTCTAAAGGAAATATTATTGTTCTCTAACACATCTCTAACACATCTTATTGTTCTCTAACACAATGAGTTCTAAAGGAAATATTATTGTTCTCTAACACATCTCTAAAACATCTTATTGTTCTCTAACACAATGAGTTCTAAAGGAAATATTATTGTTCTCTAACACATCTCTCCAACCTGTCAAGAAAATTTCGTAATTAGGTTATACTTCTAAAATCTGGAGTATAAAAGGGAAGATTTTTTTTATATTTTTAATCATTTGATATAAAAACAAAAATATTTAAAATTATTATGTCTTTTAATAATGAAGAAAACGGACCTTCTCCAAGCAAACGCCCAAGATTCCTCATCCGGAATCTCTTTCCTCACTTATTCAACGATATACAAAGCGGTGCGGGGACGACAAATTTTAATAATTACTACCGCCAAATCGATTATGAAACGCAGTTTAACAAAAAATTTAAAATGATGGGAACAACTGGAAAGTTTATTATTGAGAAATTACCGGGAAACCCGGAGGAATTATTGAGAAAAATAATTCAAGACTGCATGGATCAAACCGTAGAGGAATCAAAGAATCAGTTAATTAATCCTGACCGACTAGGCGCAATAATTTCTTCACAGTTACTTGATAATGATATTTGGATACCAATTAGAAAGCTAGAAAAAGATACAATAGACAACATATTAACAAGATTTCAACTTGTTTCACAATCAAAGATAGAAAAGGGATCACTTCATGGTCACCCCTTCACAATCAAAATCCAGACACTGGGTATTTCATCACTTCCAACAAATCAATCGATTAGAGGACGTGCACCACAAGACAATGCAACAAATGGTTTTAAACTAAAAGACGAATTATTTATTAAAATAGCTAATCAGAACAACTTATGCTTATTCTATGCCTTGGAAATTACTAAAAAATATGTTATTAAGGAATTGGGAGATAGAAGAAAATTTAATAAATATATGCAATACAATCATCGGCAGATGAAAGATGTTTTCGATCTCCTAAAAGCTGCAAAAATTCCTAACGATCTCTCTGAATATGATGCCGTGGAGTACGTGCCAGTTATTGTAGATTTCTGGAATAATCAATATAAGGATAAAGGATATAAATTCAAAGTATTTGTTTTCGGAAATGTCAATGAAAAACCTATATTCAAATATGGAAATGAAAATTTTAATGTTCCAATTTCCATTTTTCACTCAACTAACCATTTTGATGGATTAAGAAATGTTGGAGGACTGTTTGGTTTTAAACAAAAATATTGCTTTACATGTGAGAAGAAATTCAGAAAATCAACGGAGCATGACTTGAGATGTAAATCTCTCTGCAGATTGTGTGGACGCATTGGAAGTGAACGTCCTTGCTTGGCAACAGTAAACTATTTCAAAAAATGTGATGATTGTGGGAAAAAGTATTTGAATGAAGATTGTTTTAACCACCATAAAAAAAGCAACAATTGTCGGCAAACAAGAATCTGTGAAAAATGCGGTGTGATATGGTCAATGAAAAATTATAAAAGAGAAGAGCAAAAGAAACACATCTGTGGGCAAAAATGGTGTCAAATTTGTCGGCAATATCATAGCATGGATAGAGGATGTTTTATTCGACCTTTGGAACCTAAAAAATCAATACCATACCGTCTAGTAACATTCGATTTTGAAGCAACACAAAATGAAAAGATAAAGAATACAAATGAAGAAAAACGGCTCCACAAAGTAAATTTCATTGCCGCCACAGTAACATGCACAAAATGTATGGAAGACGGAAAAATATGGCGGTCACCCCTCAAACAAAATGGAAAGAGTTGCATGATCTGTGGAAACAACCGCTCAATAACATTTTCACATCGACCATACGCTCAAACAAAAGTTGATAAACAAATTATTACACAAACCCCGCTCAGAGACTTTACTCAATGGATTCTTTTTGAACTTAACCCTCAATATTCAACTATGGCATTTTCACACAATGGGGGGCGTTATGACATGGTGATGGTATTCAGAGAAATATACTTGAAAGGAGTTGTTCCGTCAATGATTCGCCGTGGTAATAAGCTCTATGAATTGAAAATTCCTCGCAACAACAAATGCAATGAGGTTGTATTTCGAGATTCGTATAATCTCTGTCCAGTCGCCTTGGGAAAGCTAATTGGGGCATTTGGACTGCAAGTAACTGAAAAACAATTTTTTCCACATTTGGCAAACATCTCTGAAAATTATGGGAGAACACTACAACAACTACCTCCAAAATCTGATTATTTATATGAAGGAATGCGACCCGATAAACAAAACGAATTTGATAAATGGTATGAAGAAGAAAAAAATCAGCAGTTTAGTTTGGACGAAGCATTGGCCGAATATTGCACAAACGATGTACAGATTCTCACAGAAGCGCTGATTGCTTTTAGAAAAAAATTTATGGAAATTAGCAAAAGGAAAAATACACAACCTCAAGCATCCCAGGAAGGAATTGACATATTACGAGATGCAATGACTATAGCATCAGCCTGTATGAAACATTTTCGACTTAATCATCTGAAACCTGAACACTTGGCAATTGTTCCAGAAAAAGGGTATGAAATATGTGATAATCAAAGCGAACTTGCACTGAAATATTTACAATGGTACGAAGAGACACGAGGAGTTAAAATCCAAAGTGCACATTCAGAAGGTGGAGAATATGTTGTTGCTGGAAGATACAAAATTGATGGATATATTAAAGAAGAGGATAGAGCAATTGAGGTAAATGGATGTGTTTGGCACGCATGCGAAAAATGCTTCGGAAATGATTTGAACAAAATTTTACCAAACGGAAAAACTGTGGGAGAAATACGTGAAGGTGATGGAAATCGTTTGGAAATTATACGAAAACATATAAAAAATGTTGATATAATATGGGAATGTGATATACATAAGATGCTTCGCCGCAGCAGAAATATGCGAAAATCATTTGCAAATTATCATGACAAAGGCCCAATAAAAATTAGGGATTGTTATTTTGGTGGAAGAACAGGCCCTGTACAAATGTACTTTGATGCAGATAAAGAACAACATAAAATGGCTTATTTAGATTTTAATTCGCTATATCCATCAACAATTGCTACAATATCATTTCCGGTTGGGCATCCGAAAATTCATGTTGTACCTTTGGCTGAACAAAATGTTAATTGGAAGAGTGGAGACCAAATTCCATTCAAAGGAATTTTGAAAGTATTTTTAACACCGCCATCATCATTGGATGTTCCTGTTATTCCAGTCAAATTTGATGAAAGATTACTTTTTCCTCTTTGCAGAAAATGCGCA